ATAAACCTGATTATCTTAGGAGCTCCTCCGAAGTGGTTAAAGTAGAGGTAAATATGTAATAAATATTATTTATCTCTTTATTTGTCTCAATCTGCTATTGTCAGTCCATAATTGATTGTTTTACGTCAGAGTTCATTAAAATTGTGCCTTGAATGTAAAAACTAATTAATGAATGCCAGTTGTAACTGTATTCTACAAAATTTTACATGTAATGCTGATTAATATATCCGTTTTATTTTCAGTGGCTGCCTCCTGGAGAAGTTTTAAGAAGTGACAGGAAATTGCAACCACCACAGATTTATGAATTTCTCCGACTGTCCCATGTGAAGGATATTGAAGAGCTAATCACATTTGCATCTGAGAGAAGTGGTCATGGTACTCACTTATCGTATCCAGTTGTTGTGAAAGCTAAGGATGGCGCATTGTTTACATTACCTGGTACATATTTCTTCATTTAGCTCTTACTTTTTTGTAATAATTCCGGTCAATACTTACAGTTTGTTTTCTTCCACAGGTGATGACTTATACCCTTCAAGTGTAGACTACAACGACAATACGATTAAATATATAGACCAAACTATATTAGAGTTAAGAGAGTCTTCTAAATCAGTTCATAGAATTGAAACTAAGGAAAACTGTAGACAATTAGTTATTCAGAATTACAAACCTGAACATCACATCGAAATGGAGAACAAAACCTATGCAGGTTTTGCTACAGCTTAATATACACTCTGTAATTCCAGTTCATGCCTTAAACTTGGCCTTATTAGCATTATAATAAGAACTGGTATTGGTTCTAGTGCTATATCAGAAGGTGTAGGTACATTAGACAGTAACAATGGCAGGCTCCGGGCACACGTGGCCCAATAGCCAGGACGACTACGAGCTCCTGGACGTCATCGGGGTCGGCGCCACCGCCGTAGTGCACGCCGCCTACTGCCGCCCGCGCAACGAGAAGTGTGCCATCAAGCGCATCAACCTCGAGAAGTGGAACACCTCCATGGACGAGCTCCTCAAGGAGATCCAAGCCATGTCCAGCTGCAACCACGAGAACGTCGTCACCTACTACACCAGCTTCGTCGTCAAAGAGGAGCTGTGGCTCGTACTCCGGCTGCTCGAGGGCGGCAGCTTGCTCGACATTATCAAACATAAAATGAGGATATCTAACTGCAAACATGGGGTCTTCGACGAGGCCACCATCGCCACCGTACTCAAAGAAGTGCTTAAGGGACTAGAGTACTTCCACCAGAATGGACAGATTCACAGAGACATAAAGGCTGGTAACATTTTACTTGGTGATGACGGTATCGTCCAAATCGCTGATTTTGGTGTATCTGCGTGGCTTGCAACCGGCCGTGATCTCTCACGACAAAAGGTTAGGCATACGTTCGTAGGCACACCATGCTGGATGGCGCCTGAAGTGATGGAGCAAAACCACGGCTATGATTTCAAAGCTGATATCTGGTCATTCGGAATTACAGCTATAGAAATGGCTACTGGCACTGCGCCATATCACAAGTATCCGCCCATGAAGGTACTCATGCTTACCCTACAAAACGATCCGCCCACGCTCGACACTGGCGCCGAAGAGAAGGACCAGTACAAGGCCTATGGTAAAACGTTCAGGAAAATGATATTCGAGTGTCTGCAAAAAGACCCTGCAAAACGACCGACGGCTACCGAGCTGTTAAAGCACTCGTTCTTTAAGAAGGCACGCGATCGTAAGTATCTGGTCTCTACCCTGGTGACAATCGGACCCAGCATGGAGACACGTGTACACAAGGCTAGTCGAAGGCAACCCGGAGCCTCGGGTCGTCTGCATCGCATGGAGACTGGAGAGTGGGTGTGGGAAAGCGAGGAGGAAGACGACGATGAGGACGACGCAGCACGGGACCGACCCATGAACACACTGGAGCGCGCCGACAGCTCGGACAGCGACGACGAGCGCGCCGCCTTCACCATCGGCTCGGCCGGCGCACCAGACGCGCGCCAGGCGCCACTCATCAACCTCGTGCTGCGCATGCGCAACGCGCGCCACGAGCTCAACGACATTCGCTTCGAGTTCGCAGCGGGCAAGGACTCGGCGGACGGCATCGCCACGGAGCTGGTGGGCGCGGGGCTGCTGGACGCGCGCGACGCTGACGTCACGGCGCGCCAGTTGCAGCGCCTGGTGGACGACTTCTTGTTCCCGGCCGCCGGCACGACCGCGCCGCGCTCGCTCACCTTCCGCCTCAACTCGGCGCCGCCCGAACCCGAGGACGAGCAGAGCCTCGTCGGCTTCGCGCAGATCTCCATCGTGGACTGACCGGTGCCGTCGACCCGACTATTTAATATATTATCTATGCTTAGGACCTCCTACGTATTTTATGGGTGGATATGGAATTATATTAGTTGTATATCGTTTATGCGGTGGTGATTTTTGTGGACGGATGGTCCCGGGGGAGCGGCGACTCGTCGTAGCTCGACGCGTCAATGTACTCCCCGCTGCCTCTGCGGGCAGTGCTGTGCGTAGTGCGCATCGAGTCATCTGTGTACGAAAACTATCGCCACGTAGCTCAAATGAATGTATATTTTACATTATGATTATAAGGGTGAATCTGAATTTATAAGAGTATTTTTTGTGATCGTACCGTGTCAATTTTGCTGCTTTCCAACACTGTAATCGATTAACTCGGGCCCACATTCGCAAATATTGCAAGCTATACCAAGGATGACAATGAATGACTTAATAGATTGCGCAAATAGAGTGAATACATCCAACATGTAAGTTAGCACTTCTAGCATAAATTATACTTGATTATAATAAAAAGCTACCTATTACTGTAATTCGTGTTACTTTATAACAACTTCCAAGTGCCATATTTATGAAATATGTATGGATAAAAATCGTGTACTGTAAGTTCAACAGTGATATAAAATTGCATATAATAAATCATTACAGTGTTAATTTAAATAGCAGGTCTATATAGCACCATAGAATGTTCTTTTTACATTGTTATTTGTTTGTTGCTTATTTTGGAAGTATTTTAATAATAAAAAGATGAAATCGATTTCGGCAGGATGTTTTATTAAAACCTCTATGATTTTCCAAAAATGTTAACTAAAAGCTATGTTCGTTCTTAGACTACAATTACATTATTTATAACAAGTTGACGACGGTGGTAGGTACTGGCATTCTGCTTCCACTGTCACAGACATTGCTCGCTCAGTGCACCCAGTGGAGCTAGTCCGTATCTGTAAAAACTCAGTTTGGCATCTAAACATTGTCGAAATAAACCATCTAGAACATTCCAAGACATTACCAACTTTCATTCCTGTTTATAACTTTATAAAGAGATCTTATATCTAAGCGTAATAAGAGTTGAAAAAGCAATAACGGTATAAAAATAAGTATTTAGGTACATTCAAACTTAACTCCATAGCATGTTGGTCCACAAAGAAAATAAAAAGTTCTAGTTTACCGGCTACAAGTACATTACTCTACCACAAAGGAAATATTTCTGTCATTTTTACAAGTTACAAGTTATTCTAATTATGCGAAGCAGTCGATACTTGTTTGACAGATTATTTAGTAATTTTTAATTGACAATTTCAATAAAATAATGATCAAGCGATGTGATGTGATGGACAGCAGATTTTCAATTCAATACCCAATACTTTTAATTGTAACCAATTATTTTATCGTATTATTCAATTCGTTGTACTTGCGTTGATCACAACAACTATTGACATTGAGAAAAGTTGAGGTAATTTGTAGTAAATAGAGAATTATGTAAACATTCCGCAACATGAAAATAGCAATAACAGCATGTGTTGGCTTAATTCCAGCGAGTTGGAACAGATCACAATCGATAAACAAATTAGCTATAGAACTCTATCTAGAAAGATAGAGTTCAAATGTATGAGAAGACAAAATTATCTACAAAAGTAATATACGACCTATTATTTTTAGAAAAATGTTGTAAAAGTGAAGAATTATTTTAAAAAGCTTTACGTAAATTACATATTGTTGTGATCATCACACAGTCATAAGTATCAAATCGCTTTGATTTCCAATTGTCGTGTTACTTAAGAACTAGTGCTAATAATATTAACGTTCGAGAATCATTTACATACATAGTGACTAGGCAAAATGAAGCGTCTAATTAAGTACTTAGTCTAACACACTCACTCTAGTAAGGCAATAACAACATTGAATCGTGTCGTAATCAATAAATAACCAATGTGTCCCCAACAAAACATTTTAAATAACATTTACACAACATAACATCAATCATTAACTTACCAATAATTGTGCAAAAACTATAGAACCATTCTTTTATGACTAGGTTTCGAAATATAACATTATGGCACATCTAAAAAAATAAAATTTGTGCGCGAATACTTAAACATTAATTAAATAGGTAATATAAAAATAATTATTCGAATCACTACAAAGAATACTTTTGGAAGACTAAATTATTAAGTGGAATGTATGTGAATATTGTTGTATAAAATTATGAGATTCATATATCGCAGACTGTAAGCAGAGTTTTATAAATGTATAGTAACAGATCTGTCACTTGAGTGTGGACGTCGCGGCGCCCTGAGTATGTTTGTAAGGCCGATCCAAGCAGTAGGCCCGTGTATGAAAAATAATTAGGAACGTAGAAATCCTCACAAATCCTTGTGCCGTGCGAGAAACTAGTGATAGCTTACAAAGTAATTGTACTATGAAAGCGTATAGCGGTGACTTACGTCTAGGTACGCAGACATTTTGTACAAATAAGACTCGTTGACTCGTCCCCCACACACATACATCAACATAAATAACTATGGACAGATTAGATTTGTAGATAAAAAAAATAAAAATAACAATTTTGTGAGAATTTTCAGAAAGTTTGAAAAGTATTTACAGATTATTTGGCTGAAGCCGAGTATGTGTGGGGGACTGACCCTACTCCTATAAAGTAACGTGGCTGTAAAATTTGACACTCGTGTTGTGGAGGGTGGAGTGAGAATCAGAAGAGGTCGACGACCTTGCGCTTGAAGTAGTGTTTGAGGGGCGTGTAGTAATGGCGGCGGAGGGCCACCAGCTCGGGCGCGCGCCGCAGCGCGTGCAGCCCCGACAGCTCCGTCTCGAACAGGAGCAGCGCCAGCAGGGCTAGTGCCAGCCATACTACTAGGAAACATGCCGCGAAGGCCCGCACTGCACTTAGCGCTCTCCACCCTGCGCCCCCCGCCGGTCTCCACCCTGGCTCCGTGCTACCTCCTGGCACCAAACCTCCTGATGTCACTCCCGACTCCGATGATGAATGCTCAAAAGAGTCGCGAAGACTGTACTCCGATGGAATCGCTGTAAAACAAACATCAGTTTCACACTTTTAATTTGTACTCTACACTGAGAAATAATTAATACCTATAAACTATTATTGAGTAAGTATTATAATAATATGTAGTTGAATCATCCCTGCATTTTATGGCGAGACATCGACGCTGTTATTATAACGTCTTACACCAAAATTCGGTTGAGTAAAAAGCTTTTAGGTATAAAAAACTTGCCTCGTTTTTATAAGAATTGTCCTGAGACATACTAAATAAACTGAAAATTGCTCACGTGAATATACTGAGAAAAGCCCTACTAGAGGTAGTTTCAAGCCATAAAGGGGCTATTCCTCATAAGCAGCGTGCGCGGTCTAACTAAACTGGTAGAGCTTTTCTCAGTATATTCAAGTGAGACACCCGCGATTTTTTGTTGAAATTTGCCTCTATTTATTTCACTTACCAGGTGGTTTGACCTCCTCCTGAACAGTCCGCAGGTGGTCGGTGCAAGCTAGTGCGATGTCTACAGCAGGTCCACTGAGTAGACAAGCTCCGTTACAAGTCTCGTCCGCCCCACTCTCCTCTAGTGGAGCGCTGTGTGTCGACCGGGGGAGACTACTGTAACCTGCGTGTTGAATGGTAATGTTAGAACAATTATTATGGCTTATAAGTTTATGCATACGATATTTTCGATTAAGAAAATCTCCCTAAATCATTATCTACTACATATATTTCTATAGCTACTTTCGCGCGGTTTCACTCGCTCTGCTCGGCGCCTATTAATCGTAGCGTGATATTTTATAGCCTATAGCCTTCCTCGATAAATGGGCTATCCAACAAAGAATTTTTCAAATCGGACCAGTAATTTCGAAGATTAGCGCGTTCAAACAAACAAACAAAAAACAAACTCTTCAGCTTTATAATATTAGTATAAATAAGGTCTTGCTTTTAAAACTGATAATATTTGTTTTTAATTAAATGACTGGACTGCAATAAAATTATTTGACTTAGTTATTTAACATTCGTATTTTACTTGTTATTTATTAAATTAATGCGATGATGATACATTGGACGTATTTAAGGTTCTAGACAGACGGACCGTATTTCAACTGCAATTGAACTGCAATTTGCAGTTTGAATGCAGTAGACACGACTGCAATTGAACTGCAAACCAAACGTGCAGTCCGATTGCAGTTCTATTGCAGTAATGACCAAACGATAGCAAACCAAACGAGCCGTCCTATTGCAGTCGTGTCAACTGCGTTCATATTGCATCTGAAATGCAATTCGCAGTTGGATTGCAGTTGAAACGCGGTCCGTCTGTTTAGACTCTAAAATATAATCCTTTAGGCTCTAAAGTTTAGAGCCTAAAGGATTATATTAACAGCAAAAGGAAGGAGATATTGATAAGTGCATATTTTAACGGATTTTAGATTAATTAACTTCTTGAATGTCACCAATTAATATAGCGAGTTTAACTATTATTTACAGATAATATCGTATGTATAAACTGTAACCTAAGTGCAGATTACCGGCGGGTTATAGGGCAGGATATTTCCCTACGTTCCTACATTACAATAAATAATTGTGATAAAACAGATATGTACGATAAATACCGAAGTCTCCCGTCATCGGCGTGGACGGGGTGGCGGGGACACTGGACGCTTTCCTCTTACCGCCTGTACTCGAACCCTCCTTCTGGAATAAAGGGACCTCCTATAGCATTCTTACTTGGTAATATTTTCATTTTGATACTTTGATTTGACTTTGACTGCACGGTTGGTGCGGTGGCTGGGCAACCGGCTGCCGTGCAACGTGTCGCGGGTTCGATTCCCGCACGGAACAACACTTTGTGTGATCCACCAATTGTTGTTTCGTGTCTGGGTGTCATTGTGTATGTGAACTTGTATGTTTGTAAACGCACCCACGACACATGAGAAAATCCGAATGTAGGGCAAAGTTTAAAAAAAACATAGTTTTTTGTCACCATAAACTATGTTTTTTACATACATATTATAAACTATGAAATGCTTAAAACATACTCTCATTCGATAGATTTTTCTTTGTATTGTAACTTTCGTGAGAGATTTTAGATTTATAAATAAATTATTATGTTTTCGGCTTACTCACGTAACAAGTGAAACAAGTGAATTTATTTCTGCAAATAGGCTACAAGGCAGCACTTTTACACGTCAATTTTATCAAGCGAACGATGAGGTCGACATTTCCTAACTGACTACTCTGAGAAGAAATGCCGAAACAAACTCAGAGGTCTGTCTCTTTTAAAGTCCAGACAAATATGTATAAAAAGATTATGTGTGAGAACCGTGCAAGTTCTTTCTGTAGTGGCCTTTTGAGGAAAGAACCACAACAGCTTGAGCGGACCCGTTCTGAAAGCAGTACGCATGTGTCGGTTTACAGTCAGCTCAATTAACAGATGAGGCTGAGTGATTCGACGAACAATACCAACCTAAAGAACATTTGCGTGGGTCGCACAAATACTCAAACTGTCAGAGTATGAGTAAGACATAAGAAAAGAAATGGCGAGGCAAAATCTCGCACGGTCCTAGCACTAACAATTGTAAAAAATAGAGGTAAATGTCAAGTTTAAAAAAAAATATAAATTTTTCAAATGAAAAACAATAATAATTTGACGAGGAACTCGACTAGTTTCAAGTCATGCTAGAGGCTCATATTCATGAGCAGCATTTCGCTACCCGCGACGCGACGACTGTCGCGCTGCTACTCCGAGTATTATTTTCTTTGTTTTATTTTGTTTAGATTGCAGTTTGGGAGCTAATTCTGAGTGCGCTGATTAAATTCAGATCAGACGTTGATGTTGGAAACACACTAATTTAAGAATTTCCTCGCAGAGTAGTCAGATTGAAAATGCTAAATTTATTAAATCAACAGTTTACAGTAACAACTACAGGGTTAAGTTACGGGATTAATAATATTTGATTAACCTTTTTTAACATAACATCACGTCTTTTTATCCCCGAAGGGGTAGACACTTAGGCAGAGGTGCACATTACGGCAATTAGTGCCTCTGTACAATATAACACCCACTTTTTACTATTTATGTTATGAGTCCCATGTAATAGGGGGTGAGCTTATTGCCATATAGCGGGCACAATTCCGAACTCCGTACTATTACTGGGATTAAAAAAAACAGTAATACTTTGCCCGACCCGGGAATCGAACCAAGACCCCTTGGTCAATGAGGCAGTCCTTTTTTAGTATATCGTAATATAATAAATAGTGTGTCGATAGACGAGTATAGAGTATACCTGAGTATCTCTAGGCGCGAGTAGTCCGTCCCTCTCGAGTATTTCCCTCTCAGTGCGGCCGACGTACTTGAACTTGGTGCCCCACGAGAACAGTCCGCCGCCCGAGTATACACACGCGTCCGACGATGATGGTAACCTGTACAACAATGAATATTCACATAAAGTTAATAGAACATACAATATTTTATATGAATAAAAATAGAGAAGAGTTTAATATTAATTAGTTCTATGATAATTAATTAACATATTATATTAACCTTGGTTTTTAGTATAGAGCCATTCCCTTTGGTCTGTAAATAGTAATTTTTAACACTACAACATTCACTAATCTTTGTAATATTATTATTACTTTTTTACGGGATAAGCCGGTAAACCAGCAGACGGATCACCTGATGGTAAGCAATCGGCGTTGATTACGGAATCCTTGAACACCAGAGGCGTTACCAAGTGCTTTACGGGCCTTTTGGGGATTAGGAATTTGATAAATGTTGGAGAATGAGAAAGGGGGAGGCAGTAGTTGGGCCTCCGGTAACTTCACTCACACAACGCAAGCGTTGTTTCACGTCGGTTTTCTGTGAGGCCATGGTATCACTACGGTCGGGCCGACCCATTCGTGCGCAAGCATGGCTCTCCCACACTTAAAACTTAGTTTCTCCTACACTTACTTACTGAGATTAGTGAATGTTGTGTGAATAACCATAAGTAATATTCATGTTAACAAAATGTAGAAAGAAGGTAACTGATATAAATTGGCATTTGCTTAACGATCCTAAAATAAAACCACTAAGATCTCATTGACATCTTTAACAAGGTACTTGAACAATGAACCAAAGACTAATTAGCAAGTAACAGAGATTATATCTCTATAAGTAAATGTCCGGGCATTGACTCATACACGCCTACAACAACTATTCAACTCTATATAAAAACTACTCTATTTACTCATACAAAAACTGCTCTAGCAAAAAACCTGCTCCATTTTATTGAGTACTTACGTAAAAAACAGCATTTGTTCGATGGCACAGCACCACACGTGGCGGCAGGCGGGACCGTTCGGACATTTGAAACCCACTGTATGCTTCTTCTGAAATTCATAATTATTTATTATGTTCACCAAGTATTACACAACATAGTAGTAGAATGAGGTATATAGGATACTGCATACTCCTAAAAAAATGTACTAAAGAGTTGCTTCAAGCAGATTTGCTGCTGGAAAAGCGTCTATAATTCAAAATTATTACTTATTTAATTATTTTATTTTTGAAAATGTGTTTAGTCCACTAAGCCAATTGCATCTGCCAACCTCCTCCAATCACGAGTTAGAAACTGGTCTTTATTAAAATAATTTAGAGTGAAAGTGATTGATTACCCTGCGGTTGACTGAAATGAAATAAAATGATATTTACTTTACTTTATGTGTCAATCTTTAAGTTACGGCTGGCAATGAGGGCCGGCATTTCCTGACTGGTTTTGTTTTTTAATGGGGGAAAATCTTCGGATGACTTCTCCGACCGCCTAGGTGAGGCGGGAGGGAGTGTCAGACTCTTACTGACTAAAAACCACCCCGTTCCTACTCCTGCCCTTCGAACCGGAGCCCCAGCGGACCCGTTACGTCCTCCGCGGCACCTAACTGACTGGTAGAGATGCATTATCTATATAATTTTGCACTTAAAGTGTTTTAAATGAATACAAATATAAAGTAGGTAGGTACACTTTTGTAATAAAGTTCAAAATCAATTTTTAAAAGGCAGCACGATGTGCCAGTTATTCAAATCAGATTGACCAGTCAAAACCGAGGGGAAATAACGGAATTGTGAAGCTATTCAATACACCATTATATTGCTGTCGACACGTGTATTTTAACAAAGAGTTTCATCTTAAAAAGATCATTTTATACTGGTACATAAGTACCCTATCCCGCTTTATTATTAAAACTTCAGACTCCTATAATCTGTGATTAAAATTCAAGGTTGTGTAGCAGATGTAAGCTTTGTACTGACCCCTTTATACTGAATTTATTTCAATTCGATATCTCGGCTTTTGTTAAGAGTACAACGTCCAGATTTTTATACTGAAGGGGCTATGCAGTTGCATAAGTTAAAATGACCTTGGAATCCAACGGTTGTTTGCAAAAATTGTAATAATAGTTTTAAAACATTAACGGTTTCGCAAGAATGAATGGAATAAAAAGTTACATGCATAACATCACGTCTTCTATCCCTGAAGGGGTAGGCAGAGGTGCAAATCATGCTACTGTACAATGTAACACCCACTTTTCACTATTTATGTTATGCGCCCCATGTACCTAAGCCTATTGCCAAATACCGGGCACAATTCCAGACTCCGTGCTACTACTGAGATTTTTTTTTAAAAACCCAGTAATACTTTGCCCGACCCGGGAATCGAACCCGAGACACCTTGCCCGGCAGTCGCACTTGCGACCACTCGGCCAAAGAGGCAGTAATATAGCTACTGTAGAAATTGCATACCTCTACAATGATGCCGTCATGAGATTCTTTTAGCGATTGCAATTATTAATAAAAAGAATTTTACATATGTGTTTTACCAATAGGTAGTGCGATTCCTGAGTACACTTTAGTTGTATAATTCTTTATTGTCGCAAACATAATTCGGTGTAAGATTAGTTAATAAGTCTACACTAAAAAAAAAATTGTCGACTACTGCCTCGTTGGCCGAGTATTTACAGGTGCGATTGCTGGGCAAGAAATCTCGGGTTCGATTCCCGGATCGGGCAAAGTATAACTGGGTATTTAAAAAAATCTCAGGAGTCTGGAATTGTGTGCCCGGTATAATTCAATAGGCCCGGTATAGTAAATTGTGAAAAGTGGGTGTTACATTGTACAATGACATTAAGTGCCGTGATGTGCACCTCTGCCTCCTTCTGGGATAAAAGGCATGATGTTATGTTATGTTATAAAAAAATTGATGCCATTTTGGATAGCAAAACAACAGATAGAAAACTATGTAAATCTCCTCACCTCTGGGTAATTAAGATGTACAATAAACATGCGTCCCTCGAAGTTGATCTTGTGCACTTCGGACCATTTAAAGTGGTGTGTCTTCCGACTGCCCTGGAACGTCAGGATCCCACTGTGGTTGATGCCCAGGTACAGCTGGTTACCTCTATGGTCCTGTGTAAGGGAAACAATTTCAAATCTTGGTGTTTTATGGCTATTTAAAGATGAGAATGGAAGTAAATATAGAACAGTTCACAAAGGATACAGGAAAGAAGTGAATTAAAGGTTTAAAACTTTAGGCAATATTACTCAATTCTTGCGCATCATACTAATTTCTTTAGATATGTCAATATTAATCGTTCATTTTAATAAATTACACTATCGTTTTCACCTTTGCCGTGGTGCGTTCAAGAACATACAAATTAACATACATATCACACCGGACCATTTGTGGAACCATCGTACAAACACACGATCATACAAAGAATTGTTCCATGCGGGAATCGAACCCACACCACCTTGTTTAGCAGTCAGTCACCCAACCGTCCATTTTACGCTATATTTCAGTTCTAAACCCAGCTACTATTTTTTACTACTTACACAAAAACAAAATAAGTAAAAATAATAATAAATAGGAATATAGAAGGGCACACATATACCCAAACCTTGACAGGATGGGGATCGACGCCGTACGTGTCGAGTTGGCAGGCGATCTTTACAAACGTGCGCTCAGCTTCCTGCGTCGACATGCCCTTCACGCCACCACTCCCGCCAGGGGTACCTTCTACTGGTTCTCTATGTAGCTCCTGGATAAAGAACATAATATGATAGTTAATTTTTACTTCTAGATATTAAGTTAGATAAATTATGTAATAATAATAAGACAGTGTATAAAAAATAAATAAAGTTACATAACTTCACGCCTGTCTCCCATGAGAGTAGGCAGAGACTAGGGAACGCCAATTACTACGATTCCTATATACCTCTTTCGCTTCATCAACAGTCATTAATCTTTTCATGCATGCTCGTCGGTTAAGGGTACTTTTAATTTAGCCCTTCTTTAATATATCGCTAATCTGGTCACTATATGTCGGTCTAGGGCGCCCTCTACCGACGGCCCCATTCGTATTTATTTTATTTAGTTTACATTTAAAATATACCTTGCACTGTAAGATGATACTCAGTCTAATTTGATTAAAATTCTGTGCCCACTCCAACGTGGTTAGAAAAATAATAAATGAAAGATATTTATATATTCAAGTTTTTTTAACAAATTTTTCAAATATTTTTCTGTCTGGAGTCTAGATATAGTAAGGAGATTGGAAGTGGATATTATATTCAATTTTTTCTAAAATCAGTAAGTATTTTTTTGTTAAGTATTCATATTTATAATATTAAAAAGTAAGATTAAATATTTACAACTGAAAAATAAATTAAGAATAGAATACAAAAAGAAAAAGTAGCTAATTTATTTTTTCTTATCTTTGTAGTATAATAACTATCGTAACTTTGTTTAATCTCAAAAAGATTGCAAATAATAGAATCCATTCACAAATCTAGCCATGCATAGTAAGCATGTTTAGTCTATTCATAAGACACAACAATGACCTACACGCGTGGCTACTATATGTAAGATTATTATTATTATTGCACAACATTGTGTATTTGTTATATAAACACTATCAACTTTGCCCCCTCGTGTACTGAACTCGTGACGTATCTAATTGATAAGATTAATTAATCAACATCACTGTCGATTTCTCTTTCTTTACCTACTCTTTCAATGTATTCTATTGACTACATTGAAAGTAATAGTGTAGTTTCCTAAATTTTATTTTAATGTCCGTCTGGTAGATTATTTTAAAACATTAGACACGTATTTTATCTTTTTTCACAAAATTACATGCTTTCAACGATATATTGATTCGAAATGTAACTACCTCCCACTCCTAAACTTAACTCCATTTTAATTAAGTATTCTAACATTTTACGAGAAAATAAAAAAAACGTGTCAAATATTTTGTCATTACCTAACTGACGGACTCATTACATTTTTAATTTTCTTACCTTGGCAACTACCCTATTTAAAACATGTGCGTTTACTAAACAAAATGCATATTTTCTATACTTGGCACATTTTCTATATTATAGGAACTACACACAAACATTTTAAATCTTAATGAATTTGGTCAATGAATAGAATGACTACCTCATTCATATCATTGTCGTATCTTAATATCAATAAATAGATAGCTTTCGTCAAAAAAATATTGATGAAATAATTCTTTGAAAACCGGCTTTAACCCCCCTTTTTTGAAGTCGTTAATATACTAAAACCTTATCCTAAGTGTAACAAACACTTTTCTGAAAACCGTATCAAAATCGGTTCAGCTAATCGCGAGATAATCGCGCACAGACATACATTTATACATACATATCAAACTGAGTACTTACCTCCTTCATGTTTGGAAGTCAGTTAAAAACAAAAGGCATTATTTCCCCAATTACCTGTATCCTAGCCTCAATAGTATCCGTTTGTCTAAGTAGCAGCCTCATCTCCGTCACATAGTTGCCAACGTGGATGTTAGGGTCATAGTCTCCCAACTCGACTGTGGAAAAGAAAAATATTTATTATTACGAAGATGTTCAGTATTTTGTCAATCACTGGGCAGTAGATTTCTCTAGTCATTTTTTTATGGCATATGCCAGTAAACTAGCGGACGGGTCACCTGATGATAAGCAATCGGCATCGCCCTATGGACACCCGGAACAAAGACGCGTTACAAGTGCGTTACCGACCTTTTGGGGATTAGGAGTTTGAGCATCGTTGGGATTCAGGTATTGGGGAGATTGAGGAAGGGGGGGGGGGGGTAATTGGGCCTCTGGTAACCTCTCTCCCACGACGAAACACAACGCAAGCATTGCTTCACGTCGGTTTTCTGTGAGGCCATGGTATCACTTCGGTCGAGCCGGCCCATTCGTGACGAAGCATGGCTGTCCCGCACTTAAAAGCTTAATTTATTTTATTATATATTGTATTATTAAATTAATCCTCAACCTTAACTAAACTGCGATCTCTATCTCTCGTGGAGATAATGGCAAACCTTCTTAAATGAAGAAGAAGACTGTCTATTTCAGTATGTTGATGTTAGTGTAAACTAGATATATTATAATATTATAGTAAGAGAAATTGTATCACATATTCCTAAACTTCGTAAACACGTCGAGACGTCATACTCAATGTTGTCGTTGCGCAAACAAAAGCGTTAGATGGGTAGTAGACAGATGTTATACTCTATCTATTGAATTGTACAACGAGTAGTACAAAATATTTATTTATCCGATTGTCATCCCTTGTTATTGTGGGATTACTATGTTTATCTATAGACTGCCTCGTTGGCCGAGTGGTCGCAAGTGCAACTGCCGGGCATGGGGTCTCAGGTTCGATTCCCGGGTCGGGCAAAGTATTACTGGGTTTTTAAAAATCTCAGTAGTAGCACGGAGTCTGTAAATGTGACTGATATAATAGGCTCACCCCCCTTTTACATGGGACTCATAACATAAATAGTGAAAAGTGGGTGTTACATTGTGCAGTGGCATTAAGAGCCGAAATGTGGACCTCTGCCTACCCCTTCGAGAATAAAAATGCGTGATGTTATGTTATGTTGTGTGTAATGTTTATCTCTATGGGATAAACTTGTCAAGGATTCTTTATCATTATTTTACACTAGCTTCTGTCCGCGACTTCGTACGCGTAATCCCATTTTTTCCCGTCCCCGTTCGTGATTTTCGGTAAAAAGTAAAAAAAAAATGTTGGCAAAAAAGTATCCTATGTCGGTCTCCTGGCTCTAAGCTACCTCCCTACCAATTTTCAGCCAAATCTATTCTGCTGTTCTTGAGTTATAAGTGGTGTAACTAACACGACTTTCTTTTATATATATAAGATTACATTCAGCCATAACATACTACTTGGAATATTTCTCACTCAACAAATAATTTTCCGAAGACGTCCTAATAAATTTCAATTAGACGACAATGTCTGTGAGACAAATAGTTGCCTACTTTATGTAGATGCACAATTATCAATGATGCAGTTCAATGTCTATTAAACACAAACATCCATATGACTATATAATACATAATAACACGTGTTTGTTCAACAAATGAGTAAATAGACGTGTATATAAATTGCTTTTAATTTACCTGACAGATAATTTGATGTATTTTTTCATATAAATTATCAGGCATAGTGATAAGTAATACTCTAATCCAGGCTGTCTCAAACTATGGGGTTTTTTTTAAGGGGGGAAAATCATCGAATAACTTCTCCCGCTTGGGTGAGGCGGGAGGAAGTGTCAGACTCTTACTGGCTATAAAACACCCCGTTCCTTCTCCTGCACGTCGAGCCGGAGCCCCGCTAACCCAATAGGTTTTCCGTAACAATGTACCCTAGAAATCAATCAAATAAGTGGGTCCTATCAACGAAACCACGTGATCACCACGTTTGAAATAAAAAAGCATTGAAAAATGGAACAACATTATAAATTAAAGATGAAAGGAACACAACTGCTGCATAAATATAATTTCATTATACTTTTAAAATGTAACAAACAAGCGAATAGTTACGACCATTTCCTGTCGCCTTATCGTTTCGCCTGTACCCTTATGTAAGTCTCATATTGAATAACCACATTGTTAACTAAAAAAAAACATAAGCCTTATCAGTGTAGAAGTGCAAACTATTCCTGTTATTACTTTAGATTTTCCTACAGATAACTGATAAGTTCTAGAATTTGATACTTTGCTTATCACCTAAAATGAGGTTTTATTAACTAAAAACCCTTTTAGCATTTCTAATAGTTACATTCGGCAGGTTATACAATTCCTCAAGCCATCACTACCAAATTTAATTAAGAAAATTATTTTAGTCGATTGTAAAACATTAGTCTTTTTATTTAAACATTGATAATTCTAGTTATTTTTCCTAAGGACTGATCTCCATACGGTACTTAAGAAATCACATTCGTGAAATCTAATTGGTTAGAGTCGGTGTCGGTCTGAAAAAAATGGGTCTAAACATTTAGTATTCCAATCAGAATTTCCGCTGGCGTTGACGCAATTTTATATTAGCATAATTTAAGCACTTAAAAACTCTTATCAACAGCTAGTTGGCGTTTAAAAAATATTTACTGAACACGTGGTTTTGACCATGTGGTAGTTAAGTTACCTATCTATTATATCTTGTATTTTTATTTCTAGATCTACCTAGAGAGATAATGTTACAAGTACATATAATATTAGATACAGGAATGTCTTCACACACAATAATAACAATATCACAGGACTAAAAGAACTTCAGCAGAAATTATTAATTAGGTAAGGAGACTAAGGTTAAGCATAAAATTATGTCTTGCATTACATTTTTTTTATTCCTATTTAAGAAGTCACTAAATCCAATATAAATAATCAGCTCAGAATCAAACCTACAACACATTGTTTATAATGTACTGTCTCATACTTCAAGCTTCCTTATGTGTACCGCTAAGGAGTGGAATTCCTTGCCAGAATCTGTATTTCATGAAGGGTGTCTTGAAGACCCAAGCCAATAGGTTGCTTATGAGACAAAATACTCCATCGCAGACCGCATCATTGCTTATCACAAGGCGAGATAGTGGTCAAGCGTCGGACCATCAAATATAAAAATAAAACAAACACTCAAATCTTTGTAGATTTGAGTATTTGTTTTCTCCTGTGTCATGCAAATCTTTGTAGATTTGAGTATTTGTTTTATATATCTTTAGAATACAAATAAAACTTACTTTGTATAATGAGTGCTCCTAACATAGCTGCCTCGTTAGCCGTGCAGTATAACCTGCCATGTAGTAGGTCTCTTTTCAGCTGCAAATATATCTGGAACCTAGTCACGTCTTCTTTTAGCAGTAGAGGATTTGGCGGATAGAACTTCACTCGGAAACTAAATAGAATTGGTGAGGCATCTGCAACAAAGATGTTATTTAAAAATGTGATTTCTCAACTTTACATGATCATTAGTTTCATAAAATAAAAGGTAATGTTACCTTGTATGAGAGCACCTCTACTTTAGGGATTAAAAGGTATGATGTTATTTCCATAAGAGTGTTCCTCTACAGTTAACAAATTATGTGCAACAGTGTTCATCACATGTATCTTTTAAAAACAAAAAATATTGCCCCAAACTAGGATTTTCTCCTGTGTCATGCATTTATGAAAATACAATTTCACATACACATGACACCTAGACTCCGAACAACCATCTGTAGATCACACAAACAGTTGTTCCGTGCGGGAATTGAACTCGCGACATGTTGCGTAGCAGCCAGTCCCACCCACCGTGCCAACCACCCAACGCGCGCATGCAGTCGAAGTTGATAAAGAAAGCAGTTATCAAAAACTCCTTACAACACATACCTTTAACTTGTTTCAATATTAATTTTGCCATATGCAGCCAATGCTGAAAAGAAAGAAAATAAAACTATACACAAAAACTAAAGTTGATTAATATATGTACATACTTAATGAGTATTAGCAGAGATATACCTATAATTTATTATTGCTTTAGATAAATATTATATTTCTGTATAGCTATTTTAAATCATAAAATAATCATCACAGTGTTTCAAATGGATTGTACATTCTTATTATATCCTTTATTCCTTTTGTAGCAGGTTTGTGTCCAAAACCTTCAAAATAGCTACTAATAAAATTGTAACTCCTTCCAGTTGGATACCTTCCAACTGTATTTTTGATGAACTGGCTATTGACTTATTTGGTAAACTTGAATGTAGAGTAATAAATTGCTGTTTGTAGCTAAGAGGCTCTGATCTAAATTTTGCTTAAACACTATTGTAGTATCAAATTGCATATATGCTTCTGCCATTAGAGGATTAAAAAGTGTATACTAGTAATAGTATTTGTAGTTCTAACTGTAGGACTCAATTATTTCCTGCTTACCATATAATATACTAAATTAACTAGATACATAAATAGATACACTACTCTAAACATAGAACCTTAATGTGGTTTATCAAATTAAAAAAAAATAGTAGTGTTGATTAAAACCTTTTTATATTTTGGGCAAGTGTTCGTGTCATGTTGTCTTTTGTTTTATTTATTTTTTTCAGTAGTCTTGCATGTATTTTTTAAACAGTAAAGTGGGCAATTCCATTGAAACAGGCCTCAATTAATTATTTAATGTTCTTATCATAGTCAGTCAAGGTCAAATTGGGTTGTTATTCAGAGAAATGTAATCCATTATATTACTTACCCTTTGACCACCAGCGTCCACATATCGCAGTCCGAAATAATCAGTCTCAGTGAGATTTAACTGTTGACATACATGCTCCAACAAGAATTTGCCCTTGTAACTTGGCTGAAAAAAGACAACCGCTTATTATTTCCTCATTAAGGATATGTACCGGCTACTAATCATTAATTATTTACTAAATACTCACGTGAAATTCACATTCTAATATCTCTGTATCTTCTAAAAGCCTCACTGTACATTTATAAACAATATCTCCGCGACTTTTGAACATGCTGCCAACTATTTATTTAGAACAATATCACGATTAAATATTATTAATAATTAAGCATTCTATTTTATTAACGCATGGCTAGCTTAATTTTATTTCCATACATGAGTTCATTCAAATTTTCATTTGTTTCATTTCGATTTCAACATGGGAAACTCAGTGGGGTGCGGACTGTGCGGTGCGGGGATGAGAAAATTTGACATTTCATAAATTGCGACGTTCAGTAGTAGGTAGGTATCTATATTAAGAATTTCAGATTCAGAAGGTGTTCAAATACCGAAATTAAATTTAATATAAAACCGGGAGTAGGTATATTTACTTACAGTACAGTATTTAAAGCATACTCTGTTTCAGAATTAGTAATAAAAGTAATAAATTTTTCCTTAGGGTAAATTCGGAGTAGGCTCGATTTTCGATCGATTCTCGATACTAAATTCACTAATCCTGAATATTAACCGAATAAAATATTGCGTCACGTCATATAATATAAATATAATGACCCAACATTTAAGTTACGTTATATTTAAGAAAATAAAATAGTAGACAAAGTAACGAATCGTTACTATTTCGTTACTTAACGAACACAAAATAATGTATGTGGTAACGAATTACTATTGAAATGGTAACGGAATAGACGATGGTTAAGTAGACCTTATTTTTTTGGTTTGATTAAACACTATTAATTACTAGATTTATTTCACTAATTCCTAAACCTATGTGACTGGTAATCCACTCGGTAATCCAGTGTTGCGGATTGCCAGTGATGATATTTTTGTCGTTATTGATTTCTGAACGAATAAGCGCTTCCACGCGTCATATCCGTAAAACTCACAAAGTTACCACACTTAAAAAAGTTTCCAACAAAAATGGTACTCCAATATGAAACACGAATGACACAGACTATTTTATTTAGGATATCATGGAGATCATGAGATGTCATGAAATCCTTAAGCATGCCTAAGGAAATTCCTAGGTTAGTTACGTCTCAAGTTAGTTATTAAGTTTAAATTTAAATACTCGAGATTAAAAAAATCCTACTGGCCATTTTTACTGGGCATTTTAAAATGTATGTTATTACTTAAACGATTTAATAAAAAATATTTCATCACATAAAATCGTTTGAAAAATGTCCAGTTTAAATGAATAGAAGAATTGGATTCTTATTTTTTCTCTAAATTCCCTGACTCTAATACAGCCATATATTATTATTAGTCCTTGAAAACAGTTTCCTATTGGCAGTCAAAGGCTTAAGCAATATAATGAGTTTTTGGTAGTATTTTCGCACATCGGGTTCAATTATCGAAATTTTCACACGGTTCCCTTTTTCTCTCTTATTAAATTTAGCTTATTTTCATCATCAATAATGTAGGATTCGAACGATAAAATAATTTTTGAAATCGGTACGGTAGTTTCGGAGGAGATGCCATTCAAACAAACAAACAAAAAATCAAATTTTTCCTCGTTATACTATTATAAGTAATATAAGTAAAAAGTCTAGATTATAATGTATATTATTACCTAAAAGATTTAGTAAATATGAATAAATATTTCATCCCATAAAATCCTTTGAAAATGTACAATTTGAATGAATACAAGATAGTTGTATAAAAATATTATACAAATACATCAACATCAACCTATAAGTGACTACTGCTAAACAGTTGATGTTTTTCTTCACTCCTTATTAAGTGTGTAAATAATCTTTTTCTGAGTCGAAAAAATAATTTTAGAAAGTTCTATACTTTTTACAGACAAAGTCTCCTTAGTACTTTACCGTTAGTAGAATTTGTACCCGCATTTTCTTGCATGAGAAGCATCTCACGCCTCGAGGCCTCCACGACCACTACAAAAAATATATATTCAATAAACTAAACTGTGATTACTACACTACGAGTGGGTACTTTCCTTAATCAAAATCAAATTGTTGTGATTTTTAAAATATTTTAAAATAATCACACTTTCATTATTCAACTTTACGATACACTTCATTTTTGTATCATAATCATAAAGTTAATGCTTTTTAAGATTGGAAATAAGTATTTAATTTGATTACAGTTGGAAAGTACCCAATTCCTATTTATATAATATAGTACTCCAACTAGAAACTATTTCATAGAAAAGAAAATGAAACATATTAGAAGATAAACTTATTTTTTTCCTGCTCTAAGTTATTTTATTTGACCACAATCATGATTTTATAACGTGTATCTACCAGTAATTAACCTTTCACTGGTGTTTCCATACTTATATAAATGGGAACTTTATAAATAAAATGTGGCCACACTGAGTACCGGAAGTGAGTCTTCTCGTTCCAGCCAGCTGAAAAAGCAACCATTTCTCGTCCATTCTGTTGGAGTCTATCTCGGATATTACACGTGGATTGTAATCCGTGGTGAGTGTCAGAAGAAATTGTTTAGTGCAGTGTTAAAAGTGATATTAGTTGACTGTAAGCATAAACGATTGTGTTTTTAATCTAAACGTACACCAATTAAGTCAATTTTATTATAATCGCTTGAGTCCTTATTGTGGTGTAATCCTAAACCTATAGATTACACGTTTCCAACTCACCGTATGGTTACGTTAACTTGTTAAAAATTTAATTACAGCAATTGTTAAGTTAATTGACATCTATTTTATTCAAATATCGAATATAACACAGTTGTCGTTTGCTTACGCGTCATACTTGTTCATTAACCGGCTCACCACCACGTGGTTGATGCACACTTGTTTTCTCATTTCCGTCATTGTTAACAGTTTAATCATTCAAATACAATAAGGTTTATAGTTATTTGTTTAAATGTAAATGTAATAAACGTGAAATTCTCATGTTTTCACCGTAATGGCTGACATCCATTGTGAAATGTCAAGATAGGGCGAGGCGGCCATGCGGCCGCCATATTGCCGGCCGCGCGATACATGAGGTTGCGACCTTGCAGAAGCCGGCTCGCATCACACAACCCCTTGCACTTTTCTTATCAATTACATTGTTTTAACGAGGTCCTTTTGTTTTGTTCTAGACTAACCAAAAATGGGCAAGGAAAAGATTCACATTAACATTGTCGTCATTGGACACGTCGACTCCGGCAAGTCCACCACCACCGGTCACTTGATCTACAAATGCGGTGGTATCGACAAACGTACCATCGAGAAGTTCGAGAAGGAGGCCCAGGAAATGGGTAAGGGTTCCTTCAAATACGCCTGGGTATTGGACAAACTGAAGGCTGAGCGTGAACGTGGTATCACCATTGATATTGCTCTGTGGAAGTTCGAAACCGCTAAATACTATGTCACCATTATTGACGCTCCCGGACACAGAGATTTCATCAAGAACATGATCACTGGAACCTCCCAGGCCGATTGCGCCGTACTCATTGTCGCCGCTGGTACCGGTGAATTCGAGGCTGGTATCTCGAAGAACGGACAGACCCGTGAGCACGCTCTGCTCGCTTTCACACTCGGTGTCAAGCAGCTGATTGTGGGCGTCAACAAAATGGACTCCACTGAGCCCCCATACAGCGAATCCCGTTTCGAGGAAATCAAGAAGGAAGTGTCCTCCTACATCAAGAAGATCGGTTACAACCCAGCTGCTGTCGCTTTCGTACCCATTTCTGGCTGGCACGGAGACAACATGTTGGAGGCCTCAACCAAAATGCCCTGGTTCAAGGGATGGAACGTTGAGCGCAAGGAAGGCAAGGCTGAAGGTAAATGCCTCATTGAGGCCCTCGACGCCATCCTGCCCCCTGCTCGCCCCACAGACAAGCCCCTGCGTCTTCCCCTCCAGGACGTATACAAAATCGGTGGTATTGGTACGGTGCCCGTAGGCAGAGTTGAAACTGGTATCCTCAAGCCTGGTACCATCGTCGTCTTTGCCCCCGCCAACATCACCACTGAAGTCAAGTCTGTGGAGATGCACCACGAAGCTCTCCAAGAGGCTGTACCCGGTGACAACGTTGGTTTCAACGTAAAGAACGTTTCCGTCAAGGAGTTGCGTCGTGGTTACGTCGCTGGTGACTCCAAGAACAACCCACCCAAGGGCGCCGCCGATTTCACAGCACAGGTCATCGTGCTCAACCACCCTGGTCAAATCTCAAACGGATACACACCTGTGCTGGATTGCCACACAGCCCACATTGCCTGCAAGTTCGCTGAAATCAAAGAGAAGGTTGACCGTCGTACTGGTAAATCCACTGAGGACAACCCTAAATCCATCAAATCTGGAGATGCCGCCATCGTCAACTTGGTTCCCTCCAAGCCTCTGTGTGTTGAGTCCTTCCAGGAATTCCCTCCCCTCGGTCGTTTCGCCGTGCGTGACATGAGGCAGACGGTCGCTGTGGGTGTAATCAAGGCTGTCAACTTCAAGGAAGCTGGTGGTGGTAAGGTCACCAAAGCCGCCGAGAAGGCCACCAAGGGCAAGAAGTAGCTAGCGCTGTTAACAGCACAATTTTTCATTCAACTGCGATACTTCATTCACCGCAAGGTGTTCCGAAGGAAAGAAGGGCTACAAACTCATTCCTTTTCTATATTTTTTACAAGGCTTATACTGTAACATTATTTTATAATTTATATAAGGTTATATCTGAACTATTTTGTTATAACTGCAAACTAATGTGTAAATTCATAGAATAAAGGTAGCCTCCAGTGAAAATTATTATTGTTTTTCATTTTTCCCGATGAATACACTTAACATACACACACACACCATTCTTATATAAAGAAAGTATCTAGATAGGTATCTGCTTTACAGTAATAAAATAAAAATACATATTAACTGAAATACACACATGCTATATTTTATTACTATAATATTTCACAATGTACTTCAATTTCACCTATTTTTACTAAGAAATTTGGAAATACAAAGAGTAATTGAAAAAGAAAACTTGTAATAAATAAACCAAAATTCGAAGGTGAATGAACTCTGAACTATTTCTGTAAAGCGGAAATAGGTGGACACATACGTCTTATTAGCACTCTTGAGTCTGTAGAACGCTATAAATAGATAGCCAAAGTGACCACCCACTCATAAGTAGAGTAAAATTGTGATTGTTATGTAGATGATAAAACATACATAACCTCACGCCTGTCTCCCATGGGGTTACAGTAGGTACAGTATGTAATATGTAGGTACAAACCAAAATACCTAACTTATATATAGAAACTCGGTAGGTACCTACCCTTAACATAAGATTATTCTTATGGTAAAGCTATCCATCTATATGGGAAATTAGAATTCAATGACAGGATATAAAACAAAAGCTTATAAAAAGGGCAATTGGTGAGCACTTCAACATCTGATTTAAATTTTAATCATGATAGATATGCATTGATAATAAATTGATAATCCATTGCCTAAAGAATTGAGGCCAATAGGCATGAATCCTTTGCAAAATTTTATCGTTTTGATTAAAAGACACCTAGTAGATATAAGAATTGTCATCTATTATACAACCGTATTCTATAGAGAAATAAATTTATAACTACCTAGTTATAAGTTTCACTTTCATGCTTACTCAAAAAATAAGATTCTAAACTTGTTACATTTATGTTGTATAAAACATGCGTGTTTATCAAACTCTCAAGCCATGCTTAAGTATCTAATGAAGAAATGACCATTTAATTATTTTTATTTGGTATTTTTTAGTACATAGTATAGAAGTAGGTACATTAAAGGACTTCGTTCTAATTTTTAACTATGTTCAGACAAGGTGAATCACCTCAAAGTTATACGTCACCGTCTTAGAAATGCGTCACATTTAACGCGAATTAGATTACGTCCCACAAATCTTTTCATTGAAGTGACTGAGTCTGTATAAAGTAGAAATCGATTTATGAAGCCTAATTTAATAGAATGTTTAAAGCAACTATATATAGGAAACGTGTATGCCTATTACTAATTTTGTGCAATAGCTGTGTAAAATCTTACATGGATAGTTCGTTTTATTTAGGTAAGGTTTACACGTCACGAACACGTGTCATTGAAGCATCGTCGTTGCGTTGTAAACTCACGTGGCGACTTCGACTCCAACGTGCCTAGTAATAAAATTAAGGCAATATTTAACCACGTAACTTGTTACCCGAATATGGCGATCAGGTGTTACCCAACTATGTATCATAAATACAATTGTTTTCTATATGCCAAATAATAGCTATTCCATTATAAAAATATTCGTAGTAACTATGCTACGAATAATTTTATATTGTGCAATCATTAACAAAAGATGTGTAATTTACTTTCAACGCTATTACACAATGCAAAGACAGAGAGAATGCACAGGAATTGTTGGCAATTACCTACCTTATACCTACATAGGTAATACCCACCATTTTAATCTGATCAACTATGTAGCTTTTTTATTATCTAGGTAAGCAGATAGCTACAAAACGGTATCGACCACGTGAGTCTGGGAGAGTGTTTATGTTTGTATTAAGTACTCGTTATACATTCATACATTTTAACATGAAATAAAAGCTAGGTGTGAGTACTTAGCTATTAATTATAGTTGCTTTTTAAAACATAACTTCGAAGAAAAGTAAATAAAATATAGGCTAAGTATGTAGTAAGCAGGGGTAAGTTAGGTAGATATCCCGGTATCTGGACACCAATAATTTATATTTATAAAATTCCTATTTACACGATATTGTAATCATAGGTACGAAGATACCAGCAACTTATTGATAAACAGGACTTTTATAAATAAGTAGCAGTAACAGGTAAAAAATTTCGGATACAAAACATTGTGCAATTATTCTTCAATTAATTTTATTAACAATATAAAAATCTACATTTATGTTAACCTTTTTTAGATTATTTAAAAACCCTGTTATTACTTTCGTACCTCAGAATTATTGATAATATTTCTTATAAGTAAATAATTAGGACGGGTCATTGCCTCCTTGTCGAATTCTCGTCTGCAAAACGCACGATAGCAGGTAGATGACCGCAACCTTCAAGAATGACTCGTAGATGTTCGTTACCAACTATATAGGCATTTAATAATAATATTTAAATTGTATTAACACGTTCCGATGACCGGATCTGAAATTGGCGTTGCCTAATATTTTATTTTTATTATATCTATGAACTAGCTTCTGCCCGCGCTTCTTCCTTGTACAGATCTGTATTCCGTGGTTATTCCAGAACATAATCTACCGCTAATCCAAATTTCATGCCGATCCCTTCAGCCGTGATTGCCTAGCATGGACACAAATACAAATTTTCCCATTTATTATAATTTCCATATATTTATTTTAAATACTCTATAAAATACATTTTTAAATACTATTTACAAAAACATAAAAAATAATATTTAAAAATATAAAAAATAGGAGCCGACCAGTAGCGGGAGCATGGTCCAAGCTACCGGTGGTTAGGGCTCCAGAGACAGAAACCTCCTCACGATACGTGCCGTTTCAAGGAGCACTGCCTTCTGTATCAGGCCCTTGACCCAACTACCTAACGCTAGCCTCCTAAGGTGGTTGTCGAGGCTATTAGGGATTAACCCATTGGCCGATACGACTATCGGCACAATGATAGCCGAATCTACATTCCACATGTCGACAACCTCGTGAGCCAAATCAAGATATTTGATTTGTTTATCTTTTTCAGTTTTCACGAGGTTCTCATCATGAGGAATAGTGATATCGATTATCATCGTGCGGCGCAGTTGTCGGTCTATCACCACTATATCAGGTTTGTTGGCTATAATAGTCCTGTCCTGTCAGTGATGATAGACCGGTCCCAGTACAACGTGATATGGTCATTTTCCAGAACTGGGTCGGGCACATACTTGTAGTACGGTACCTCAGACTCAACAAGTCGATAGTGCAAAGCAAGTTGCTGATGGATAATCTTGGCTACTTGATTATGCCTATGCAAATATTCACTGTTAGCCAAACGACCACAACCAGAAATAATAATATCTTATTAATAATATTATTATAATTATTAATAAGATATCTATTATGATAAGTTCGTGTTCTAAATATTTTCAATACATAAAATAGCAGCTTACTCCAACTATTTAATAATGAAATCATTTTTAACACGTAGCTTATGCCTTGAAAAGAAGAGGCAAAGAATACCATGTGCCCAAACCGAAACTGCATTTCTTCGCCTATGTTACAGTGATTACTAGAAATTGGTGTTTGTAAATACCTAGCTCTTTCAATTATGTTATTATATGAAAAAGCTGAACAATAAACATTACCTACATGATAATAGATACGTACCTAGACACACATGGATGGGTGGGAATGGAAAGATATGATAAAATATCAATTGCACAATGAAGTGAAGGAATAGGTGTTAATTTAAATAACAGTTTGCAGATTTGGTTCTCTAAAAACACCTTTTACCCTGGGTTTCATTCATTTAAAACTTATAGGACTAGGCAGGGCCGCGCCGCCCCTGTGTGCGAAGTGTGCGGCGCACACAGGCGCCAAGACAATAGATAGGGGCGCCGTGTCGCGCCACCACTTCTACTTGAATTATTTTTGTTACCTTAATTATTATATTTTTGGTAGTAGAGTATCGATAAGTAAGTAGGTACAATAGGCGCAACATAGGCCTTGTATCTATACAACAAAACTTATATTACGCTTATTAAACAAGTCTCTCAATATTTATGTTCATTATTAATCACGTTTATGGTTTCATTTTACACTTAGGGTTTTAGTTTACATTACTTACGAGTTACAAGATCAACGTTAAAACGGCGGCAGATCTTTTGAACCACAGATAAAGTAGGTACCTACTAGTTATATTGAATCATAAAGGCGCCGACTTTGTATGAGTAAGTATGAGTGAGTTTGAGAACGCAACCCGATGCGATGCGTGCGAGGCTATAGGAGTAGGGTCACAGGGATTCCCCGATTTTAACGAACGAGAGAGTCAAGCTAAAACAAAACAATTGAACAATCATTTGATTGAACGTGTGTGTAAGGTGCGCATTGAACTTTTTACTGACTTTAAAAAAAGGAGGAGGTACGTATGTTCGGCTGATTGTTTTTTTTTTCAGTACTCCGCCATATGTCAACCGATTTCGAAAATTCTTGTTTTGTTTGAAAGGGTATTTTCCCGAGATGGTCCCATTTCCATGAGGTCAGGATCTGATGATGGGACCCAAGGGAAACCAAGGGGAACTTTTGAAAATTCTATGGGCGAGTACTGCGTCTATTTTGTTTTTCAATTACGATTTTTAAACACTACAATTTGATAAGGGTCTGGATTTGACCTGATGATGGAGCCGACAGACAGTCGAGGGAACTCCTCAGCGGTTTATATTAACTACCTTGTGTTTGTACTAAATTAATCAAGCCCAAGCATAGGGTAGTTAATAAAAACAGCTGAGGAGTTCTCTCGATTGTCGGCTCCATCATCAGGTCGACTCCAGACCGTTATCAAATTGTAGTGTTTAAAAATCGTAATTGAAAAACATAATAGACTCATTACTTGCTTCTAAAATTTTTGAAAGTTCTCCTCGGTTCCTCTCGGTTTCCCTAGGATCCCATCATCAGATTCTGAGCTCATGGAAATGGGACCATTTCGAGAGTATACCCTTTTAAACAAAATAAGATTTTTGGAAATCGGTGTACAAATGGCGGAGTAATGTGCAAACAAACAAAAAAAATCAATCAGCCGAACATAGTACCTCCTGCTTTTTTGAAGTCGGTAAAAAAGAGGCGCTCCATCGATTCCGCACACAGGCGCTGCCGGGGGTCGGCGCGGCCCTGGGACTAGGTAACATCTAAATGTTATCCTGTTACTTACAGGATAGGACCTTTGTGTCAGTTGGTAAGTAGTTAGGTAGGTACCCTATTTCACAATATTGCTTTGGATCGTGTAAACAAACCATAGTAGGTATACTATATCTACGTAGGTAGATGGGTATATACCCAGTCAATGAAACAACTTAATTTTTGTAGGGTGGAGACGAATAAACAGACATTAGTTTTCAACAGTATTTACTTTATATTCTACCTACTATTTACATAATTTTATAGCTAATACGAGATATTGTTAGAGCCACCTTCTCCAGATTCTTCTTGTTCTATAATCTTGTTTGCCCATTCTTCTGCCTGTCTATACCTTTGCCGTTTTACGTAAGGAGCGTACACAGTTTTATGGACAACTACTGCTGCCGACGTTATAGATATAGCCATTAACATTTTCATAAGAGGACTAGAGTTTTTAAACCATACTTTAATGTGATCCATTATGTCTTAGTTTCACTGGATTCTTCGCCTGTAACAACTCTGCGTTTTCTGCCGAAATAATCGTCAAATAGTGGCCTCCAGATGTATACTCCGCTGAATACTCCTAGGACAGTCACTAAAACTATCTGCCCTCTTGTAATTCCTTTAGGCCTATAAATGCGCATTATATAAAATAATCAAATGCGATTTATGTAAATAAAACAGCGCATTTTGGTATCTTTTTGTTCCTTTTTTATTTGGAAAATTTTGAGGTTATTTATATTATGTCACATCGCGTTCCATCCGCACTTCTAGATCAAACTTCAAAGTTTAGTTTTGTAGCATGACGTTAAATTACTCGTTAGAAAGAAACAAGTTAGATATACAAACAATAGTATAAAAAAAGATCGTCTTTATAATGTATGATTAGCTAAAATGTAATTAAATATATTAATAAAATATCAAATATCTTGATTTGGCTCACGAGGTTGTCGACATGTGGAATGTAGATTCGGCTATCATTGTGCCGATAGTCGTATCGGCCAATGGGTTAATCCCTAATAGCCTCGACAACCACCTTAGGAGGCTAGCGTTAGGTAGTTGGGTCAAGGGCCTGATACAGAAGGCAGTGCTCCTTGAAACGGCACGTATCGTGAGGAGGTTGTCTCTGGAGCCCTAACCACCGGTAGCTTGGACCATGCTCCCGCCTGACTGGTCCTCCTATTTTTATATTTTTAAATATTATTTTTGTCTTTGTGAGTAGTATTTAAAAATGTATTTTATAGAGAATTTAACATAAATATATGGAAATAATTAATAATACATTTATTAAATACTCAATGATTTTTTATAAAAAATCATTGTTAAATACTGTATATTTTAGTAATTTTTGTGTTAACAATATTGATTTTACCATGGACAAAGTGAAGGTGTGACAGTCACCCATGAGTGTCACTGTCTAAAGTGACAGCAATATCGAGAGATGTTTTGGTTTGTGGTCTCGTAAAGTCTCGTTTCGCTACGAAATGTGAATTTTGTGCACCACAAAGTCAAAACATTGAATGTAATAACCAAGAAGTCCGCTAATAAACAAATTTCTTGAGTGAAAATATTACAAAATTACATATTACAATGGCTACTACCAAAAGAATGGTGCCGAACATCCTGATAACAGGTAATATGTTATATTAATCAACCTTTTTGTACCCACGTGTATTTTCCAGCTTTTCGGATATTTACGTATGTTCCGTATATTTACTTTTAGGTACTCCAGGAGTCGGTAAATCTACTCTATCGCGTTTGCTGGCGGAGAGAACAAAGTTTACTTGGCGAGAAGTGTCCAAGCTTGCGGAGGAATACAGTTGTTTAGACGAATATGACCCAGAATATCAGTGCCCGTTTTTAAATGAAGACAAGGTAATTTACATTGTATTAGCTTTTCCTGTAGGTTTGCCCGTGTGAAGTACACTTTGGGTGTAGCCTCCTTCCTGTGTTTATGTATTGGTCCATTCAAAAAGATTAATTGAGTTTGATAAAGAACCTATATACAGGTAAATGCTGTCTAGTAATTATAATAATGCAATACAAAGACTAGACCTACCGTAAAATGTATTCCATTCTTTATAAAATCCCACTGCCTCATTGGCTGAGTGGTCGCAAATGCGACTGCCGGGCAAGGGGTCTCGGGTTCGATTCCCGGGTCGGGCAAAGCATTACTGGGTTTTTAAAAATCTCAATAGTAGCACGGAGTCTGGAAAAATGTGCCCGGTATATGGCAATAGGCTCACCCCCTATTACATGGGACTCATAACATACATAGTGAAAAGTGGGTGTTACATTGTACAGTGGCATTAAGTGCCGAAATGTGCACCTCTGCCTACCCCTTCGGGGATAAAAAGGCGTGATGTTATGTTATGTTATAAAATCCCATTAATTTAGTTATTTCATTACATAGGATCTCCAACAAAAGATGTGCATAACACATGACATGAAAATCACACAATACCTACTTTAGTTCGATAAACATGGAATAGTGACGCAGTTTGTTTAGTAATTGAGTATTACAATTAAATATTATAATTACATGCTATTATCCTATTTTGCATTAAATTATCCTATTGCAATTCATTTGTATTACATAATGTTGATAGTTGTAACCATGTTCTATTATTACTAAAACACTTAAGTGTGGGAGAGACATGCTTCGGCACAAATGGGCTGGCTGTGGACAGAAACCCGACGTGAAGCAACTCTGGCGTTGTGTTTTGTCGTGTGAGTGAGGTTACAGGAGGCCCAATAACCCTCCCCTTCCCCAATCTCCCCAATTCCTGAATCAATCTTCAAACTCCTAATCCCCAAAAGGCTGGTAACATACTTGTAACGCCTCTGGTGTTCCGGGTGTCCAGGGTGACGCCGATTGCTTACCATCAGGTGATGCGTCAGCTCGTTATCCGGCTTATACCATAAAAAAATAACACATTTCCAATTTCAATGATTTATTTTACCTGTTTTTATTTTTCAATTTGAGATCTCTTTTTCCAGTTGCTGGACATCATGGAGGGCATGATGGCTAAGGGTGGCAATATTGTGGATTATCATGGATGTGACTTCTTCCCAGAGAGGTGGTTTGATGGTGTTTTTGTTGTTAGGACCAACAACACAGCACTCTTTGACAGACTCTCAGCCAGGTGCGTTCCTATATTTTCTAGATATATATAAATGTTGTTGACATTTTTCATCTTATTCTACAAACAGCATAATAATGAAATATGTCCAAATGAGTTAAAATAATAGTGAATATGGACTATAAAAATCTGAGCATAACATTTTTTTGAAACTTCCACTATTATATAAGTTCTCAAGGAAGATAATAAATAATCATATTTCTGTATTCCAGAGGATACACAGGAAAGAAACTAGAAGATAACATTCAATGTGAAATATTTGAAACACTGTTAGAAGAGGCACAGTCGTCATACAAGCCAGAAATAGTGCTAGAACTACAGAATGACACAGAAGACCAGCTACAGAAGAACGTTGAAACAATCACAGAGTGGATAGAAAGATGGAGAGAAGAAAACATATAGTTATTAAACCTTTTTTATGTATTTCCTGTAAATATTATATTATGTACCTTTTTGGGTACTCTGTCTTGTTGGCAGAGCAATAAAATGTGGCCTGTGATATTCTCCAGGTAAAAGCCTTATTGAGTCTTTTATTTGTGAAATTTTTAGTATTAGGCCTTTAGCAGCATATGTTACGAACGCGCGTTTGAAGCGTGTATAGAAAGGAGCGGAGTAGCACTGCTGCCCCGCCCGCGACTCTTTTTATTGTGTTAATAGCGACACTAGAGGCGCGTTCGCGATCGCCCAGTGTACTTGGGTTACAAAGTTGCGTTCAAATCTCGTATGAAGCGCGTATAAAATACGCTGTGTGCTATGGGGCCTTAGTATGCGGGAATAGAATTTTGCCAATAGGCTAATGAAATTTATTTAACCCTAATAAAATTATCCTAGTAGTCTTGTTATATAAAGTTCTAGACAATAGTCTTGACCCATAAGTGAAAATAACCATGTGTGCTTTTCTGGTTTAAAGGCAGTCAAGAGTTAATAATCATGATTTGGATTTATGAAACTTGAAAGGATTCTGGATCTTCTTTGATAATAACATCTTTTTGATGGACAAAATATTAGAAATAAAACCACAGTTTATAAATACAACCTAATTTATTTGTTATTCCACCGACACTATATAAAGAAATGCATTCAATATTACTGTATTTAGATAAATCTAAAATAGATTTATACCACCAACATGTCTACTCGGGCGACATCACTGGGATGGGATATGGACAAGTTGACATGCCAGTGGTTCTATAACACATGCACCCACACTCTCACACTCCACTCTCACACAGATCTTTCATGGAAAGTTTTACATCACAACTCTTTAGAGCTCTTCCTTCTTGGGCTTGCCCTTTCTGTCCCAGCCATTGAGCTCGCTGGAAGCTTGTTCAGCTATATACTTGACGAAATCTTCGAGAGCACGGCCACCCTGGAATAACAAATCACATAACAATTAAAAACAGAAAACTGCATTGAACTTATAAGGTCTTATATAAATCTTGTAATTTTTAAGATTTCCAAAAAAAATACATTATTTCAACTCACGTTGTATCTGACGGGTTTCTTGGAGTTGTCAGCTGGTTTCCAGTAGATGGTGGGGAATCCGGATACGTCGAACTGCGACTTGGGCCAGTCGTTGGCGGTCGCGTCGATCTTCACGATGTCCACAGCCTCGTCCTTCAGCTGTTATCCAAAACAATATTATTTATTAGAATTTGAAATCAGCAATCTGTAATTCAGCAGTCTAGTAAGTGAAATTAAAACATTAATTGGCCTAGGTGAGCTTGGTAATTGCGTACCTATACAACCAGTACAACAATAAGATCACGCTGCAAATTATTTGTGTGAAAACCTTAATACTGTTCTCTATTAGCCAATCTTTAACTAGTTTCAAAATCGACCTTACCTTTTCACCAAGTTCGTCCCACACTGGAGCGAGTTTCTGGCAATGTCCGCACCATGGGGCGTAGAATTCGATGAGGGCATCACGTCCACTGTCGGTGACCAGCTCCTTGAAGTTCTTGCCAACAGCTACCTTCACTGGTCCATCGTTGCTCTCAGGAACAGCCTCAGACTTGACGAAAGGCTCCAATTTACCATCCAGCAGATCCTTTGTGAAAGCTAACAGGTTTTCAATGCTGGAAAAAATAGAATACGATGTTGACGTTGGCATTTTAAGTAATTTCATTGATATACTAAAACATTTTTGATGTGACATTTCTAGGTGGTCGACGTTTTGACGTATTTGTGGGTCTAAGTCTTTACACGCGTCTATTTGCTAAATAAAATAATGATACATAATTTAACATAAAATATTACCTAATTCATTTTGTGTTGTTACATGTATGTGTATTTGTGGTTATTTAATTAAAGAGAAAAAGTAAGTGTGCATTTGTTACCTCATTTACATTTAATTTATAAAAGCGATCAATTCGCGATGAGTTCGTAAAACCATTTCATAAAACAAGTCAACAATACAGACAACACATTTGAAATTGAAGAATAATATTAGAAAACTACATTCAAACTAAATAACTTCGACAGTCAATAAATAAAGTGTTTAAACGAATTTTTCATTGAATAATCGGCTGCTTATCATTACTTCGCTGTGCTTTAAACAAAGTTAACGGGGCGTAAAACAATCGTAAGAACCAGTTCGATGCGATAACATGACCGTAAAAATATTCAGTTCAGTTCCATAAACACAAGAATTACATCTCTTTTATATTTCAAGTCTTTCTACGGAATGAGAAACTTTTACACTGATCGGTACGAACTCTTGCGTATTAATAACTTGAGCGTTACGCCCACATCTTTCGCAAATATTTTCTTTTTGTATCTTAATTTAGTGTTCATGTCACACTCGTATTTTTGTCAGCTTATCCTAATAAAAAGTAAACTTTTTACAGTGACCTTAAATACTTAAATAAAAGAAAATTAAATAGCCCTTACTGTCACACCGGAAAGTAAGTCATTCTGGTGATTAACAACAGAAGCGAATGATTCAGAATTGAACAATGACTAATTCATTTTTAGCAATCGATAAAAGTTCGAATGGAAATAACAGTACTAGTACAAAAAGATTTCATGAATAATAAATACAAAATGAGCAAGGAATGCCACAAGGAAGCATCCTAGGCGCACACTATGTAATTCCAAGCACATTAATTTCAAAATAAACATAGACATATCGATCAACATTCAATTTAATCAAAATTTGAATCAAAAAACAGCGTCAAAATTATTAAAATCAACATCAAAAAGGAGACACAAGCAAAGTGTCTGGGAGTAATAACTGACGTTGTGATTAATTGGAAGGCGCACGTCGATATCATTAGTAGTAGAATTAATAAATTTGTATATGCACTGAAACAAGTAAACAATGCTAACTTCGTGGACTATTTACACGACTACTTTTCATATTTTCTTCATACTAAGTATGTGTATATTAGTTGGTATTATTGATTTTTCCATATCGCGTTATCGCAAATGTATTGTATTTTGAACTAGCTCTACCGCGCGGTTACATAGAACTGTACATGCCATCATATTTTAAAGTCATTTACGATTAAAATTTGTTTCAATACGTAGGTAATACTAGTAACCAGTGCATTGTCAACTTAGTTTTAGAATCTAAAAGACCGCTCAGATATTAGATAAGATACATTTTATCTAAAGCAATCATCAAATTATCTTCCGTTTTCCCTTGATCAGAAATAGTGCAAGAACATTCTAGAAAATGTTCTTATAAAGATAGTAAGTACTTAAAAGAGTGTTACCTGAACTCGGTGGACATGACGAACTTGTTGCCATCAGCGTCACGGCCGGCGACAACTGGCTTGTCACCCTTGGCGTAGTCAATGCCGTACTCATTCAGTTCGTGGGTGAAGTCGTCCTTGTCGCTCACTGCGAATGTAACCTCCGACTGCTCCTTGGCAACCTGGGTAAAAGTAAATAGGGATATTATGTCACCAGCTTAAAAAAAGTTTTAGTAAAAAAACACTTTAGATGAAAATTGTATAGAAACTCGTTCAATAAGATTTATATAGACGCTATAGGGACAGGAAGAAATAAGAGCTAATTTAGGTTGTATTTTTCAACCAAATTTTTTTTGAGCTACGCGTGGTTTGTGAATCGATTTTTCACGACACGAAATGAAGTTTATATTTTACAAGATACATAACGAACCTTAATTGTACAAGGTAAGAATATCAAATAGTTTGGAATATAAGTTTTTATGCTCGACATTAGTATAATGTATGTATGTAGTAAGGCAACCATGGAGAATGAACCATAAAATTTCTAATTAAGATAAATGTTACACAATGGATTACACTCATTCATAATTAGTTCCTCAAAGAAAACTACCATGTGAATAAATTATTGCCATAAAATTGACTGTAGTTTTTCTCTGTAGTATTTTCTTAACTTTATGGTATTTATTATTTGTACGTTTAACGTCAGAGATTTATCTTTGTATTGTCAAATAATTATGTTATTGTAATAAATATCCATGTATCATGTATTTTATTGTTTTAGACTTAGATCTTAGGCAATTTGAGACTGATTTAGATTAGAAGTTAATCTACAATATAGAGCAAAATTGTATACTATTTCAGTAATAGTACGAAATATTATAATAGCAGAATAGTTTCTTGTGTGGAGAAATAGACTCGTGTCTGTCCTAATATTTTATCATTTCTCAGAGTAATACATAACAAATACAGTAACAGTACAGTAATACAAACAGTAATATTACCTACTATTTTGTATATAGAATGTTCTGGAACAACATACCTTGAGCACACGGTTCCTCCAGTAGTTGGTGCCCTTGGGGTTCTTGACATAGTCCACATCGTAGTAGGCGACCACCAGGGGGTCAGTGAAGTCACGGATGTTGTCCTTCTGGCGGATGCCGACCAGGCCGTGGCTGTGAATATCACATACTTGTCAGAAAACTAGATTAACTTTAAGTTATAGGGAAATGTTTTGTGTGGTAAGTCTAATGTAACGACACAGGAGAAAATCCTAGTGTGGGGCAAAGTTTAAAAAAAAAAAAAGAATGTGGCATAAATTTACTTTTGACAGCTTATAGAACTTTACGCATCATTAGCGTGTGGAGCGCAATTTGAATTCATTATTATATTGTGGCTATATCCTTATTAGAAATCTAGGTCGGCTGGGTTCATTTTAATTTAGGATTCACCTGATAGATACCTGATAAATATATGTGCGAATAGCGATAAAACAATTATCAGAATTGATCAAAGTAGTCTTCTTTTAGGCAGCCGAATTTATAATAAGATATTATTAGCTACCTATAAATAAATTAAGGCATTGTGTTATTTGGCAAAAACCTTCAGCTGTATAAATATGACACAAGTGTCGCTGATTAGTATTTCACGACTAACAATCAACATTGACATAAAGAAACTAATTCTTCCTATATTCTATGAAATTAA